GTATTGAATGTCTTCTTGTCATTAGTACTGGTAGAGATACTGCCTATTATACCTATTTTACTTTGTATTGCATCTGTATCTTTGCTCAATTTTAGTAACCTAGTCACAGTATCAAGAAAGATAAATCTTGAAGTACAATATTAGAGATCTTTTTATGTTAATTTAGGCATAAGTTATATTTTGTATTGGCCGTGTTCTGTGAACTTTGTATTTAAAGAATAGTATTTAGACTTTGGTTACCACATCTAGTTGACTCCAGTTATGTCTGGCTGTATCCTGTTACCCCTCATTGCGTTCTATTATGTTCTATTACCTTCTGACTTTGGTTACCATTTATACTTGTGTCCTGACTTTGGTTGCCACATCTACATACATTCTGAATTGTGATTAGTATTCTAGCATTCTATACATCTGACATACAGAACATACATAATTCAGGAGTTTATTTCTACTAATGTAGTAGGCATCTATCTGGCTCAGCCTCTTCAGGTGTTTTTTTAGTTGGCTTTTTCTTGTAATAGCTGTAGTGTTCATTCTCTTACTATTTTATGCATTCAGACTTGAGAAGCTCTTATGCTAATGCCAGCTACTGGATGCCTAGGTTAATCACTGTTACAATTATCAGATTTATTGCTTTATAGGTCTTGATAATTCAATCTATCTCTTTATTTTCAGGAATATCCACATACTCAAGAACTTGATTTAATGCTACATGTTAAAACTTGTTCTGGACTGAGTGATTGTGTCCCACAGTCTAGCTGTTTCTCTTTCTCTTTCTCTGGCCTCAAATGTCTCTTGTACTAGCTAATAATCTAACCATACTGTAACCTTAAAGTACAATAGACTCAAATTCTATAACTCCCAAAGGACCAAAATTACAACCCAAGTCTCCTATTCAATTATTGACTATTTTCCAGGCAGTATCTATTCTCTGAATTTAATCTTAACTCCACTAGTGAATACTACTTAAGCATTAAACAATCACTCATCCCTTTTGGACCTATCTGTATAGAGTATTACATCTCTGATTTCCACATTCTTCTCCCACTCCCCTGTGTACTGAAGCATCACTGTTCTCTTGTCCACATCCATCCAAACTACTGACCAAGGTTCCACTGGCAGCTTCTTCTCTCATAACAGACAAGTTAGTAATCCCATACTCTAGCTCCTGTCTCTTCTAATCTTAGAGAACCATTGGTGCTACTCTCCAGATTTGTATATAATTATCTTCATGTAATATCACTTTTGTAAGTATAACCCTTACAAGACCATCAGTGGTATTCCAAATTCCACCAAAAGCATGTTATTAGCTAATTTTAAAGGCATCCTAAACATTGATCCTAGATAATTATTTATGTGGATTTGAATCTACTTCACATATAACACTATACAAAATCATGTCCATACCATACCATCTGCAAATAGTAGCTTTATAGGAGACAGAGTATTTTCCATACCCTCAGCTCCTCACTCATCTCCCATTAGCTACTCATTGCTACTATTCACTTTCTTATATCCAATTTCCTCTTCAATCAATAGACTACATGATCAGACGTGTTTCTAAACTGGTTGTAGAAAAAGCTAAGTACTTCCAGCTTATTGACTGGCTTCAACTTTATCCTATTCATATCTATTACTTTCTACCTGACATCTCCAAAACCAATCCATTACACCTTTTGGTCCTAGAATCGTATCCACCTCCTATTGTCAGTTTTCTTACAGTTTCAAAAGTTCTTTCCTGCTATCTACATTGCAATCTCCTTGGTAATCTCTACCACCAAGATCACTCCATTATTAATATAACTTGAGATCACACTCCTAAGACCTGGTGTAAATTTCAATTTCAGTCTGAAGATATTAGTAACATAAGTTCTAAATAGAAAGAAGAAGAGAGATGACCCTTGGATAGCTTCTGTAGCTATAATATAGGTCTTGAAAACTCTTTTATTAAACTAGAATTGTACTACCCTTCTCAAGTACTATCTCCACACCTACAAAACTATAGTATTCTATGCTTCTTTCACTACTAAAATGTCAGAACAGAGGTTATGATTCGTGTTATCAAATCCTCTGTTAATGTCTATAAATATTATCAGGTACTTTATCCTGCTATTATGTTCCAGAAACTTGTACACCAATACTATAGCATCATGTACCTCCTGTTACCTCCACGATCCAAACTGCATATTTTTCAATTTCTAGTATTGAATCAATTTAATCAGGATAATCCTACTGGCTACTATGGCCAAATACTAGCAGAAGATGGATTATTCTCCATGACTTTACAATATCATACCATATTAAATTAAACATGAGCAACATCTCTCTAGATATCTGACTTTTTCGTTTTAGTAGGAAGGAATGGAGGAACATGAAAGCAGAAGAAAATGACACATTACTTAGAAGAAGGTGAGAGAGAAAGAGTCCAGTATCTTGAGACAAGTTGCTCTTATCCAAGTTGATATTGTATAGGAGTTTTAATTTTAACTCTAAGTTAATCCATACTTGCTCACTTGGTCATTGCAGTCTCTCCAGATCTGTAAGTAATAAGTCTTTATTAAAAGAAAGATTATTAGGTCCAAAGATAACCACAGTGGAGGTATGCATCTGGGACAGTTTTGAAGAATAAAAGATATGCAGTAGACTGCCACTACATTAGCTTACCAGCTTTGACATGGAGTAAAAAAAGGGCCTTCTTCTTGCTACCTCATAAACTATCCTCTATTATAGATTATACAATTAACCTTACCTCCTACTACTCATCCCATTCTGCCCAAACTTAAGTCATCCCCTCTTATCTCCTACTACCATCTGCCACTACCGTGGAAGTCAAATTGAAAATAACCTTATGACCTAACTAGATGGGTTATCAGATGGTAAGATCACTCTTTCTAATAAGTAGTATTAGGATAATATGGAATGATCTTGGAGCCAAAGATTATAATAGCTAGTTATCTTCCTATTTCACTGTCGCTTATAGTTAGGCAAATCAAGTGTAACACTAAAGCAATTATGATGCTTCAGATTATGTTCCTTTTTTTTCTTCCCATTTTTATGAAGTAGTACTTGAATTGCACAATAGTATGGCTAGAGGAGGGGCCAAGCAGGAAGGTCAGTACTGCAGCTGATATCTTCAATGTTAAAATATCAACTATTCAAATTCTAAGTCAGAAGAATTAAAAGTGTAAAACAAATTCCCATTAATTAATTAAAAAAAGAATTATTATTACCATAAATGCAGCAAGACTTTGAAAAAGTGTAAGAAAGAAAAAAGAAATAGTTGTAGTAATCAAAAGGACTAGGAAGAATACTCAGGTTGCTGTTAATAGGCAGAAGGCAGCATTAAATCATTATGGTATTAATGCTTCCAAGGCCAAGAAAGAGAGGAAAAGCAAGTAGAGAATATTTGCAGTCAAGGTAGAATTGTTCCAATAGAGCTGTTAATTCAAATTTCTGATATAGTGAAGAGCCCCAATGCAGAAGACTTTAAGTCTTGTCAGTAACTACCATATTTATTACAAGTTCTATTGCTGCTTGAGGCAACACCAAGTTCAGTAATTAGTATAATAGATCTACAATTACAAGTAGTTGGCAATGAAGCTGAAGAGGAGGAAATTCATTAGAGAAGAGAAAGAATTAGGGAGGCACATACCAAGATTTATGAGAGAAAATGAGAATAGAGGAGATTCTAGTAGGAATTTGATTAGTGAATTAAATTCAGATTCCTCATTCCTATCAGCTTATTCAATTGTAAGAAATCCTGATTTTCTGGCTTTGAGCTGAAACAATTTAGCTATGACAAAAATTGGTGTATGTAATTAATAGTATGTGCTTGTGTAGGCCAGTTGAGCCAAAACAAAACTAAAAACTGAAGTGTCACACTTGCTTTAACATCACACTTGCTTTGCCCGACTATGAGCGATAGTGAAATAGGAGGGTAACCGGCTATTAGTACGAGTAGAAAGAGTATCGACGCCAACCGCAGAACATTATTCCCAGAAACCGCAACAAACAGGGGAATATTCCTCTAGACACCAGGGGGAGAAGAGGCAGTGAGTGATTGCGAAAATACAAAGTGTGCAAGCTATTTCAATCTCTGCATTCCCAGATTTTATTCGGCGTGATGGGAATAAGCGGATTTCAATGTCCACCTACACGGCCTGGCGCATTTCTACCTGGGTTCCGTGGAAGCAATTTCTTGCCTTAATGCACTGCTTAAGAATTCACTACACAATCTCGATGGGTTGAAATCTTGTGATGAAGTAGGTCTCTGGTTCAGAAGAACACCCGGTCTTTTCTTTGGCTGAATTAAGAGACCTTTCGCTCCATGTCATGAGGCTTCGTCCTTAATATATAGGCCTCTGGCAGAGCTATATCCGTAGCACTCATGGCGGACTGGGCTACCTGAGATCTCAAGAGAGTCGGATACAATTTGGTTCATTTGTAGCTGGTCTTGCACCTACAGCTCAATAACACCTATTTACAGGTCTAATGGAGATCCCGCAGCAAACTTTGTTTTATATTTTCCACCGTTGGATATATTCGCCGACCCAATTTTTCCGTTTTTGATTGTCACTCTCTTCTGCCCCTTCTGCTTGACCTTCTAACTATCCTTCGTTGTGAACACACGGGAGGGGATAGTGCAGAAGGAATACAAATCAGGTGCATATTTCAGTACATAATATTATTATTATATGGATATTTAGAGACGGCATTCCCTCTGCTTCAGGCCCTTGCCAGTAGCTGAAAGGTGATTTCAGGAGGAAGGGATAACGGGATGGGTAAGTCCAACGTTGCTAGGAAAATTTTGCCTAATGGTGATAATGGATGTTTTGAGCACTATGTGTTCTTCTTGCGCTATGTGATGGCCTGGAGAAATTCGGAGGCTTGGCCGTCGCAATTTCTCTTCCCCCAGTTTTCGCTTTTTAGAACGCAGTATCGAAGTTCAGGAATCTTTTGATTTAGAACTCATGGTATCATCATCCCGACAGCACATTGCCTCCCATTCTCATTTGCGTTTCTATTGCACCTCGCCCCTCCACGGGATGCCCGCCTGAGCCCCCATATTCTGGACTTTGATCGACGCCGCCCTCGTCGCGAAATTCAGGGATTGTCCAACGTCATTCCCTTCAACACGGGCAACCGCAAATGCGCCGACAAACGCATCCCCAGCACCGGTGGTGTCCACCACGTCCTGTGCCCGAACCTCGGGCCTAATCCAACCTTCCTGGCGATCCGGGCTCTTGAAATAGCACCCGCGGGCGCCCATGGTGATAACCACGCTCCGCTTAACGCCACGCTCAAGGAAGCGGTCGATCGTTAACTTGACCCCGTCATCGTCGTCCAGGAAGGTAACTTCCTCCCCAGTGAGGTACGCGGCTTCAGATTCATTGAGGATTAGATGATCGATTTTGGAATAGAACTGGAGGGGGATGTGCCTGGCCGGAGCGGGATTTAAAACAGTTTCGACACCAGCGTTTGAGGCGAGGGTTAGGAGGTGTAGGACTGTTTGGAGCGGGGTCTCGAGCTGCAGGACAAGAAAAGAAGGGAGAGGGGTAAAGCTCGAGAAGAAGTTTTCCGGAAAATCTTGGGCAGTGAGAGCTTCGTTCGCGCCAGCCGTGTAAAGGATGCGGTTCTCGGCAGTATCTTCATCAACCTAGCTCTATTAGTCTGGATTTTCCGGTGATAACTCAGCTGTGATCTGGAGGGGGGGGGCACTATGATCACGGCGACGCCACTAGAAACTCCTCCCTTGACAACTACTCCTTCAACGTCGATCCGATTCTGCCTTAAGGCGTCCTTGAGACGGCCCCCGAACTCATCATCTCCGACAGCACCGACCATCTTGACCAAAATGTTGTCTAGTGGTGCATCGGAGGATGCTCGAGCCAGGCGACAACATGCGACAGCTTGGTTTGCCCCTTTCCCACCTGGTGCAGTTGAGAAAGTTTGGGCAGCTATAGTTTCGCCGGGGTTAGGAAGGCGACGAGTTCTGGTAGTCAGATCGATGTTTAATGAACCGATGACGAGAATAGTCCTGGGAATCGGAGCCATTTTGTTGAGAGCTTTGGTCAGTGTATTCGAGTTCAAAGCCAAGTGTAGATTATACAGTTTCGTATAGGGAGGTGCGGTAGGGGGCCTCGAGGGGAGGTGAATGAGAAGGTTTTCGAAGTCTATCGTGAGATTGCCCCTGGTGCAATTATGTGATGTTGTATGATACAAACATGATAACCCCAGACCCTAAACTTCCCATGTATCACGTGCTCATCCTATAATCATATGATAATATTATTAACATAATTAGTCAGGGTTCGTGAGCCGCTGCAGATTTTTGTGTTTAAACAGGTATGATACCGGTGCTTTATCCAACCCATGACGGTTGACGTACTGTACTGTACGAGTACAGTACGAGCTATCTTCAAAAATCGTTGACACTCCCCCCACTTTACACCATGAATGGGCATTTTCACTTTGCAAAATCTCAGCTTTGTCGTCATGTAAAAAATTTTAAAATTTGCTAGAGCCTTCAGAGCCATCAAGATATCACCATTCATAAGCAATGAGCTCTGTTGGTTGATGACCATGCTGCAATACAGGAAATAAAAATTATGAACAAAAGATACTTCCAATTTTATATGGGTTTACCATATGAAAGGTACATTGTAACATCATCCAATCTGACCATGCAGCTCTCATCTCTCGAGGTGGAGTGGAAAAATTGACATAATTTTTATGCAGAGATTTAGGGTAATTCCCTACACAATAAAATTAATTCTCTTAACTCTCCATTGCTTTTAGATGAATCGAGCATGTTTAAAATCAGCCATTTTTGGTGTAAAATGGGGGGGAGTGTCAGCGAATTTTGAAGATAGCCTCGTACAGCACAGCACAGTACAAGTACAATACTCGTACAACACTGCTCCAAAATAATACACCATTAAAGTTATCTGCATCAAAAACCAACGCATAAGAACTAGAATCTAATAGTTGAGGATTTCACTGAACCTGGGGAAGCACAAATTTCTGTACTATGATTGTACCTATGCATACGAGCTCTCCCCAACTTAGGGACCGAGTTGGGCATGGGGGTCTGTTGCGGTACCCTGGTGGCTGGGGTAATTGGGAGCCTCGCTGGGGCGTTGGAGTTGCCTCCCCTACTGAGGTCTATTATATTTTTCTCTTTTATTTGCCTCAGATGAGGGGAGGATAATCCTTTAGCCGTCTTTTCTCCCCTTGATCCGGGGGGAAATTCTGGAAGTACTAGCTTCATATGATGTGGTACTTGCATCCCATTCGCAGGGTGATAAGTCCAACTACCGTAGACTATATCTTGCCTGACATGACCTAGGCTAAAGAGAAAAATGGCCTTTAGTCGCAGCCACAACGAGGGCGATATTCAAATATACAATGCAGCAATTGTAATACGATAGCTGAACTCATAAAAATGTTTCTTTATTCCTAAGAGTTCCAACCCAGACTTTACCCACCCACCCTTCAACTAAACGGAGGGAATAGAGAACAGGGTTCACAATCAGCTATCTCTCTAAGAGCATTCAAACGATGAAAATATCACAAGAAGCAATTCTACCAGGGCCACCAACTAATCAAATGCTCTATGAGCAGTACATTACCCCCGGGGCGATTCTTCATCACGCTAGATTTAGATCCCCACGCCCGGCCGTCAACGCAACTCCCTCAACTCTATGCTTTTAAACCCTGACTGATGTCCCCATTGTTTTTTTCAAGTCCCCTGATTCGACATCTACCCTTTTGTTCTCCTTCATGTCTCTTTTGTTTTCGCCATATATGCGGGCTCCAGTTTCAATCCCCTTCCCAGTCTGCAATACCGGTCTGTTCTCGCTGGATTCCTTCTGAACTAGCCCAGAACTACCATCCGCATTCACCCAACACGGAACACACCCCTTGGAACGAGCTCTAGTAAATTCCCTCAACGCTTCTCTGATGTACGCCTGAAACGGGATGAATTGTGTGGGTATACACTCCTTGAGATGTCTCGTGTCCCTGAGGATCTTCTCAGATAGTCCAGCCCACTGCTCGGCTTTCTCCAAGATAAGTATCTCGTTGGCATCCCTCGAGGGTTTCCTGTTGATGCATTTCTGTATCGCTTCGGTCACAGCGCTCTCGGGTTGGTTTAGCTCTGCACATGCTCGGCGGAAAAGGCCAGTCAGGGAATCTCGCTCTTGCCCTTCTGAATCCGGAGTCCCTCCTGAGCCCGATCGAATGGACACAATATCACCGAGGTGGTGTGCCCGCAATCTTATGGCCTTGGAGGGCTCACTGAAAAATTTAGAGTATTTAGCCCTATGAATGACCGTTGCTAACCAGTCGATGTAATTTGCTTCCCAAATACACATCCGTAAGTCGCCGACCATGTTGGCTAAGTCCTCCTCGAGCTTTCCATCCTTTATTCGACGCTCCCGGTAAATCGCGGCAATCTCCTGGGTGTTAGCCACGAGCCCTTGGTTGCCGAATCTTGGTGTAAGCTTTGCAAGGCGGATAAACGCCAGGCTCTTTGCGACTAGGGCATCGACCGTAATCGTAATCATCTTGATAGATGTGTATTAGCCAATCTATGCTTTGGCGGACGCTTAAGGGTGGAAAGAGTTGTGAGAGACGGGAGGAAAGGATTGGAAGAGTAGAAAGACAAGACGAGGTGGGGATTCCTAATTTCGATAAAGTTGATTTTATAACTCGGAGCTTTTGATAATAATTCCCGTAAGATAATGGTTGTGTCGAAGAAAAAGGGGATAAGACAAGATCTGGAAAGCCCAGAGATGTTATATACGCGTCCATGGATTATTAAGTAATTGGGAATGTATCATACTGAAGACACGACTGATGTTAGGGTCAGTCTACAAGCGTGCTTCAATACACTGAGCGCTGGTGAAAATCTGGGTCCAGCTCTAAATTCCGACCTGTTTCCGGACAAATGCTACTTAGTTTACAAGTGAGATATTTAGAACAAGGTTGTGAGTCCCAATCCGCCGCGAGGCCGTAGCATGTCCACAGAGGCTTGCGCTATCCCTTTCCCGGTCTCGTGGTAGGGAAGGCCCGGGGGAGTCATTTAAGATATAGGACACCATTCTAAGATACCATGGGGAGTCCCTATGCCTCTTTAGTAAACGACTGTGCTTGATTAATATCTTCAGGTGACTACATTGGACCCCCAGTCCATAACCGAGTGATAAGCTATGAGGTCACTTGTTTTTGAGAAATTGAAAATTACCCACAAATGAGGATCTATCAAATCTAACATCTAATTTAAACTTAAGCATGCTCTAGTTATCTATTTCCTTCCTTCAGTTAATGGGGTCAAACGGCCGGTTAGTCAATTGTCGTAAAGCCATCCAAAGCCAAGCATCTCTACGGTGGCAACGCCACAGCTCACACAAAAGAAAGCCGACACACACCCCTCCCACTCACCCTAACACCCTTTGCAGAATTGGGGGGGTCCGTCCACCGATCTAGTACCCCTACCTTCACTACAACTACTGAGCCCGTAAACACAGTTACCAGCTGCCGCAGCTCCAGGTACGCCGCCTAGGGCGATAAGGACTTCTGGATCCTTTGGAGCAGTGCGAAAGATGACGATTGGTCAGACCATTTGGTGGATGTTGTTGACGGTGTTTGTGGTTTCGTGCCTTGTCGAGACTAATTCCAAGACCTTAGAGGTTAGGACCAGGTGGAGCTTTTGGCTGACTGAGAGCATATTCGGAACATCTAGGGGGCCGAAGACGTTCAAAGCTTAGAAACCGGGGAAGAGGGTGGTGCCGGATCTTGCTGGCAGTGGAGAGGATATATAGTTTTATGGTAGGCTAATCAGACGTTGGAAACTGGAAGAAGATTGAGACAAAGGAAGGATTTCGCAGTAAACAAGCGTTGAGGTATCGAGCGAAGTTACCTGTATTACTGGGTATTCGTTCAAACTGTTTGATTCACAAACAAAACGTGCCACTGATGGACGATGTTATAACACTTCTGTAGTGTGAACTTAGATGGGCCAAAGGGCCCACTCGATGTCTCTTTTCCCCCCTTTCCCTATTATCGCTCTTGGGGTAACCTATTCTCCTCTCCCGTAAAAAAAAAAAAGGCTTCAAAATCGAATAAAAGACCATTAACGCACCCCACATTTAAGCATGACTTGTAGGACTCTCCGGGACAGACTATCAAACCTCATTTCGCTGACCCCGACTTCCGAGTAACAACCCGATGGTTCACTAGGCTCCACCCCAGGGAATTCTTTCTTTTTCCAGAAGTTCTTTCTTTATTTCTCTCCCTGCCAGGCATCCAGTAATGATGTCTTGCGGATTCGAGGGACACTAGGCTAGCCTTACTTCGGGTGGCAAGCAGCGGTTACTACTATTCTTCCAATTCTCAATTCTTCCCTCAAAAAGCCTGAACCCCCTCATCCTCCAAGAGTTCGGAGACTTCTGGCTTGATAACCGCTAACTTGACAGTTGTGCTTGGGAGATATTCTACCTTCCCTAGAACCGGATGCTTGTCACCGGAAGTATACATGCCTATGTCCCGCTCATTGTATTTCGTCTCGTTCCACGCCAGGGTATATGAATTTCTAGAACGATACCAGCATGCAAGAACATATAGCGTGCGTCGTGCAATTGCCATTTAAAAACGCAATTTCCCATGTATCATACTCAGGGTAAAAAATTGTTAGCAGGATTCGTTCTAGAGGACAGGAGTTCAAGTCCCAATGCCTCCCATACCCCTTCAGGGTCCCCAACCCCAGTGCGGCCGGCCCCAGCTGATGCTGTAAAAATTTAAAACATGAGAAAACAGTTACTTTTATCTATCTAACGATAACATATTCTGCTGAATAGCAAGCCCCCGTGATAGCGAGAGACCCACCGAAATACTAGCAATTATTATTATAATATCATCATACAATCTTCAGCGAGTCCTTGGTTTTTTCGCTGTGGTCATGTCTTGTCCTGATCTCACGAAACGTCACTGCTGGAGACCTGCTGTTGAGGCCATTCCATAGCACGACAGAAGCTAATGCACACTGAAGCCGGGCGGGGGGGGGGGTTCGAGTTATCACTATGCCACCATGGATAGAAGCAGCATAGAAGAAAGAAAAATTCAAAAGGTATCATGGTTCGCCACAATAGCACGAAAATATGTAATAAAAAAGCCAGGGATTTTT